GGGGCGGAGTAGGAAATGGATGGGATGATGGGGACGGGGTGGAGTAGGAAATGGATGGGATGATGGGGAGGGGTGGAGTAAGAGATGGATAGGATGATGGGGACGGGGTGGAGTGATGGATGGAAAGATAAGGTTGATGCAGGATTTGAGATATATGGGATGAGGGGTGGAATCAAAGTAGACATGGTAGATATGGGATGATGGGATATGGATGATGGGGGTAGAATTGTAGAGGATAGGATGATGGGGTTGGATACAAAGTGCAGAACTGTACTTCAGAGATGTTTGCTTATCTATTTGTACCAGAATTGGCAGCATTAAGCTGTATATTCCCCAAGGAGCTAAGATGGTTTTAGGACAGGTTGTAGCCCTTTGATTAGCAATAATAAGAGCCTTGTTCTTCCTGGTAATTTGCTGCCACATAAAGACAGTCATTATGTTGTTATTATTAACGTGCTGGAATGCTTGCAGTTTTCTGTACAATTCCTCTTTTCTAAGACTGTGGGAATTTTCCTAGCCTTAACTGAAGTCACTTGCACCATGACAAAAAGTTTCATTTTTCCAAGAGCCCAGTAAAGCATTACAGCTGTGCAGTCAATGGTGGACTTGTCTTATATAAATAGCATTTGTGATGCAGCTGTTCAGTTTGAGCAAGCTTCCAAGGGCAGTTCACTTGGCAAGCCGTGATTCTGACTCTTGGAGATTCATCACATTTGTTTCCCTTGTTTTCTCTGACCTTAGAATTTACCGTCTCCAACTAACCGGCCTGCTGGCCCTCTCTCGACTCTTCCGAGGCAAGAAGTGGAACGTACTTCGCAAGAGAGTGGACACCTGTAACTACGACGTGGACCAGCTCTTCATCGGTACCCTGCTGTTCACAATCCTGCTCTTTCTCTTTCCCACGACGTTGCTGTTTTATGTCGTCTTCACAACGGTGAGCCTAGGTTATGTTTACGTTTTCTCCGATTTTAATTGTGAAATTCTTCTGCAGTTTCCTTGACTCTTTGGAAGGCTGTTGCAGTCTATACACAACCTTGCTGTAGATTAGAAGGTCAGGCTGGTGTTGTGGCAATTTCTCTTCCACCTCTTTAGCCTAGATTCAAATCCCAACTTGGGCGGTCATGTTGATTGAGTTTATACCCGATTCCACAGATTTTCCCTTGAAATACTATTCCGGGGCTTTCTACTCATCTCTAAAAACTGAACATTTTTCCTTCCTCATCTAGTATTACATTTTCTTCATCAGGCCTTGAGTCTACGTTGCCAGTGGACTTTTGAAGAGCCCTTGGTTTCATAATCCATAACAAGTAAAACGAATAATAAAGAAATTGTTCTCTTGCCCTCTATCAATCTCACACACACAAGCCGCATTGCGCCCCACAGGTGGTCATTTGCTGCAGGGAGAGATGCAGTTATAACAAAGCGTCTTGCTATAAAAACTGAATTTCACAGGTGAAACATGCAGCTTCAGATCTACCAAGCATCCTTCATGTTTCTACAAAAGAATATGTCTGTATCCCTTTCATGAATTGTTGAATGTTGAATGAAAGATCCAGCATTCCTTTTTCAGCATCGGCTGGCCGTCATTTTTCTGGAGGGCACTCTCACCAAGACCATCGATTTCCTGAGGTGGTTGCCTGTGTACTCCATCGTTCTCTGGCTGACCGGCTCTGACATGCTCATGGTCAGTGTCTACTTTGACCCCCTGCAACAACCCAGGGAGGGCTCCCCAACAGCCATGATCATGCAGGTCAGTTCCTCTTATACAGATTCTGTGGGATGATTTCAAATCTCTGATGGTAGCCCATCATGTTTCAGTGATGGCTACAATAAAGTTTAATGTTTATTTTGGATCTTGTGAAAGTTATGTGACACCTTAATGCCGAATACAGGCAAGTCACAATGCAGTGCACCACCAAAAGGTTGCTATGTAAAGGTCTTTTCGCAGAGCATTATGGGATAAATAGTTGACAAAGTCTCATTTGCTAACTGCACTGGGTGCAGAAAACTTGAATTTGTTTTTCTGAATGTTTTTTAAGCTTGGTTAAAATTCGAAATTGCTTATTGCAGATGGGTCTAACAAAGTCGAAATGATGGTTTTGTGTAGTGCAAAGAATGCCTCAATCAATAAAATATCCCCACATTACAAACAAAGTACGCTTAATGGCGGCATCGCGTGGACCATAAACTTGAAAACTGACCTATCTGCGGCAAACTCTTGGTGGTGCACTGTATTGTGAATCGCCCGTATTGGTACGATACAATGGAGTGTCTTTGTTTTCATTTCACTTGAATAACAGTTTGTGGCTTGAACTTGATAGTGGATGGCTTGTGTCTGACTTGCAATGACTTGTTTACAGCACTTGTTTACAATGCTGGACAAACTGTGTGATGGTACGCCAACCAATTCTTGACACGAATACCTCTGCCTGTGAATTGTCAAGTGGCATCATATGTCTTTTAAGTTTCTGCCAAGCTTTCAAATTTCACTACAATTTATCAACGATGATCTCTTTGACAGTTCCAACACTTGGGTCTGCGTGATGTGCTACTGCTCTCTCATGAAGCTTTCAGGAAGTCCCCGGCCCTACCTGAGTTGTCGTCATCAAGGAACCCTGTGGTATCACTCGCCTTGGATTTACTCACCGGATGCCTTGTTTACCCCTGGAGTCTGGCACAGAATAAGACTTAATGGACCAGGATTTTGAAGCACCACTGGCAAACCCAGCAGAAGGCAAAGGAGGCACGTGCTTCCCCCACCCCCCTGGGCAGATATTAGTCCGGCTGTGCTATGAATGATGCGAATGATACTAGGATGGTCTCCGTGTACAAGCAGGCCCCTCACTGGTGGTCAGAGGGAAAGCCCAGGCCGACACCGACCTGCCACCCCAGGCAAAGCTCTCTATGGGATTGTGCACTTCAGATGAAAAGTGACTTTCATGCATGTTTCTTATTGTGTGTGCTCAGTCCACTCCGTGTATGAATAAAACATGTTTCTACATAGAAATGGTGTCCTTGTGATGGAAAGCTTTTGCATACTCAGGTTCATGTGCATTTGGTCGTGGAATCCACCAGGCATGTGACCCTATTTCTGAAATGTACGGTATCCTGTGTTCCAAGTTGAAATTTTTCCCGCCAGTCTGTTTCCTCTTTGCTGATGAGGTGCTAAACAAGTGGGTTGGCCCCAGAAACCATTAATTGCAGCTGTGGTATAAAGTGCACTGTTTTGTTTATATTTATATAGCCTGAATTCATTCTGATATTGGTTTGTAGTGTAAATCGCACACAATATTTCACAGTTTGCTGAATTGCTGCATTTTGTGTGTCAATATTCAATTGAGCAAAGAAATCGACTGGAATGAAATTTGAACATTTGACCTATATCACACTCCATGTTTGACTCCCAAACATTGTTTTGTTACTTTAAAAGAATCAACATAAGTCGTTCTGTCATTGTACGAGCATATTTGAAGAGGCAAAAATAAATAATTTGCAGAATAAAGTACATGTATAAAGAGACTTGTCATTTCGCGTTGGCCTCTGTGATGTAATTTTGATTCTTTCATCAGCAGGAAAATTGTTACTTGCATTTTGATGTGTTATCGCAATGTTGCATTGTACTTTAAGAAATTTGTTGATCGTCTCCTTGCTTCAGCTTTATAGAGAAGACAAACTTTACTTTATTTCCTCTCTTGCATGTTCCATTGACAAGGAATTGCCCTTCTCCTCTACATTTAGTATGTCATAATACAAACAATTCACTTTCCTGTACATTTCATCTCAAAAGCAATATTTATGTCCACGCTTTTCACAAACAGGTCAAATTGAATCCAAGTAAAAGACGGTAATTATAGAGATGATAAAATCGTGCATGTCTGAAATTAGAAACCAGCAATGATACCAAGAGAGGGCGAAGAGTAGGTGGCTGTTCACGTAAGCTGAGGCTTGTAGGGAAACAGCCTACATGCATGTAGACAATAGAACACGGGAACACGGGAACACGAGGACACTTGAACAAATGGAAACACACATACGTGAGATGGGACACGGGACAAGGATATATTCAGGGAGAGGTCAATAAATAAGATATGTTGAGTGAAAACTGTATGACTACAAAAATGGTGTAAAGAGTGCTGCTGATCAGGAGGAAAAATGGTGAAGGAGCTATGGAACATTGTGAAAGGAGTGCACTTTTTATGATGATTAGAAATGGCCCATGGATGGTGTAAGTGGGCACCATAAAAATGGTGAGTAAGTAAATTGCACTTAGATTTTTTTCTAACTTAACTACTCATCGGCATATTTCAGAAAAGGCGTTAATTTTATTTTCAGGGCCTTAAATCCTTCACATGGCTGACATTGCTGCCACAACAGTACAACGGCTGATCAAATCCTTCAGATTGTTCCCACATTAAATGTTTTATTCTGTTGTATTTGTTAAGGAAGGACATAAGGATTGGAAATATTCATTGACCTACTTTTAGGATTTAAAAAAATTAATTTTATGATTTTTTTTTCAGCATGAGAAACCCAACGTGGGTACGAGAGCATGAAAATTATGCGCGAGACTCACGCACGTTCAGTGCGTGAGATCGAGTCAGCAGCTCTGAGCACTTAACTTCTCATTCAGGTAGCCAATGGTCATGAAACGGTTTGCCTTATTTTTTACTGAGTAAAGTAACAGTCATGAAATATTTCGCCAAGTTCGCACTGAGCCACCTAACGGTCGGGAGAGACTTGCCCAACTTTACAATGCGATTAATGGTCAGGACACATATTGCCCAACTTTCCATGATGGTATCGAATAAGCAGCGGCATAAATCTGTGTTGGAAGGGGGGTGGGTGACACCATACACACAACATAGGGGACGATGTTCATGATCGAGATGTACATGTACATCTGTAATGTGTCTACATCGATCAGAATGATATATTTATGGCTTTTGATAATTGTTTTCCCTTTATAGTGATACTGCAAACATTTTAGTTGTGAATCCCGAAAATTCTTCACAAATTAATGTTTTTTCTCATCACAAAAAAGTCGGGGGTGATTCAATAGCCCATCCCCCCAAAAGTGAGGGGGATATCTACCCCCCCTCCCCAGGATTTATGTCCATGCACATAAAGTTGACGAAAATTGTGCCTAACTTTACACTGAGGAAGTTTACGGTCAGAATGTCGAGAATGATGTGTCTGACTTTCCACATCTGTTATGCATGGTCAGAAACGCCAGTGTTTCTGATTCACAATTAAATGAAGCAAAATAACATCAAACACGTCCTCCTGAATCTTGCCTTCAAAAACTCGTCTGTGTTGTAGAAAGGGTTGATTTTCTTTGGAGCTTCAATTTTTTCAAACAAAATTCTTTCCAAGGATATAGGGCGCCATACTCGGACATCTCTCTCAGTGCACGGTGTTCCTGTTATTTAGAATTTCATTAAAAATAATTCAAAACACATAAATTTCCATTCAACCAGCTCATGAAACATTTGGTCTAAGTTTCTTCTGGACAACCATGAAAAATTTGCCTGATTTAGCGGTGCGCAAGCATTTGCCTTACTCATACATTGCGCCAACTGACGGTCATGAATAATTTGCTTAACTTTCCACTGAACACGTCAGCGGTCCGAAATGTTTTGCCTAACTTTCCAGCGAATCCGCTGTTTAATTAACGGTCAATAAATATTTGCCTAACTCTGCATGTTACTGCATCGGACCGAAATAGCGCCGCCTGTTGACTGTTGAGGTTGGCCTCCGTTTCTTTAATGGAAATTCACGATTATGGCCGAAGATCACTTTTCGTTTCAATATCATGGGGTTAGCCAAGAAAATCGCCTTTTTGCGCAGTTTTATTCGCTTTTCAAGGAAGATACCCCCAAAACAGCAGTAAAACTAAACGCTCACTAAAACCAATAGATCGCTGGTGCATTTTTTTTCAGAATTTTTTCAGTAAAAAAAATTGGTTTTGGGCCTCGTTTGTTTTAATTAATCATGCCCCCATTCCATCGTCACAAAATTGCTTGATATGGTGGAAATTTTGGCAAATCATTCACAGCGTTCAGCCTAGCTAAGTTCAAAGTTAGGCAAATATTCCGTGACCGTTAATTCATATGCTGAAGAGTTAGGCAACTTTCCCTCACTGTTAGCCTGCTCAGTGTTCAACACCGCCAGTAAGATTGGCAAATTCAACGACCGTTAGCTCGCTCAGAGGACAGTTAGAGAGAGTTTTGTGACTTTAGGTTGAATTTTCCTTTTTCTGGCTGGCAAAATTTCATGACCGTTGATTAAAAAAAATTAGGCCTAGCATCCTCCCGGCTCCCGCGAGCTCCCCTGACATTTATCCCCGCCCATTTTGTACTTGTATAAACACACCGCCACGAGGCGGCGCTCGTCACATTGCTGACACCATGGCGGCCAACGTGACAGGCAAAGTGGACAGGAAAATTTCCATGGAGGAAGGTGGGGAAGATGCGAATACTGCTCAGGCAGGGAGCACTCATGAGGAATTTACGGAGACGGAAGAAGTGAGGGCTTTAATCAGCAGCTTGGCAACCGTTTACACCGATCAGATATCCGTGGAACTAGCAGTAGAAAAGTTCACCGGTGGGTGTATTTAAATTCTATACTGTGAGAGTGTTTGTTGACCAGTTATGATATGAATCAAGCAAATCCTGAAGTCATAGTTTTCACGAGCGCAATTCGACGCAATCGGTCGATCTGCATAGTCTGTCAATCTTTTTGCAAAATCTGGCGATATTAATTCTACCATCAGTCCGATGCCTTTTCTTTCTGTAGGCCTGTCGGGGTTGTCAGTTTTTTGGAAGCATGGATGAATAAAAATTAAAACACATGTGACACGTGTTTTATTCCTCCATGGGAGAAGGCTGTTGACTGTTGTGAAAAGGGAAATAGGCCTAGACCCCCCTAACATCCACAACCATATAGGCCTAGGCCTAATTGCCAGGTTCCTTATGTTGCCACTTACCATGAAGACCAATCATGTCAATCAGACTTGACAATAGCAAAATTGGGGACCAGGTGACTATATTATAGTCACGGTCATTAGGCCTACAGGTAAGCCTACATGTAAGGCGAAGTAAAAAAAAAATGTTTCTTGTCCCCGCCCACTTCATTTTTGGAGGCCGCCTGGATTTTTTAAATATTTTTTAGTTTTGAAAAATGCAGTAAAAAAACACAGAAAAAATCCACAAATTCATCAGAAAATAAGTGCTTGCGAAATGAGTGAGTCAAAGTTTTCAGTGTAGAGTCTGTCGGTCACTTTGTACATCACATGAATCAACGCACGATCACAAAACACGTCTTTTTGAGAGTCTAGAGCAAGGTGGGTTCACCGAAATCTGTCTGCACATACTGTATGCACATGTTCACTACTTCGTCGCCAGAATGTGACCAGCATGGGAATACAGGCATTTCAAAACGAATGGTTCCTGTCAGAGCCTCGCCTGCAGTTTGGAATGGCTTAAATCAGCAAAGCCGATAACTAAGCCTAAGCCACACGTTTCAAAAACGTCCTGAGCTCAGGCTTGCGCAGCCATGGTCTGGTTCCCAATCCCATTTTCATTGATGCAGTCGGACTTACAAAATTGCGAGGGAGGGGGCAGGAAACAGTCTTGCGCGGCCGATGTTTTCTGTCACTCATGCATGCTCATTACAAGCCTGAATCTTGTCTTGTTTGGTTTCATCAAAGCGTAAGTCAACAAACTTTTGTCAAACGGTAACGGATACATTGTTTGTCACAAGTCCAAAAGGTAAAGTCTCTGTAGTAGAAAAAAATATAGACTTGCAACAGTAAACCGACAAAATGTAAAGAAAAAAATATGGCCTCAAATGTTTTTGTAGGTTTTGAGAGTTGACATTTGGTACTTGACTTTATCTGTAAAAGTACTCATCAAAACAAATCTTAACTTTTGGCGGTTAAAGTAAATGCATCTAAACTCGTTCATTGTAGACCAATACAACACTAAACGACACCTGTAAATATGTTCAGTTCTTTTGTCCAGTTTGTCATTCATTTTAATATGTGTTTGAACAGTGGAAACACTAACGGTTGCAGGAAATTTTAAAATGGGGGCCATCTTGAAAAAATTAAAAATGAAAAGCCCCGCTTCCTCCTCCTTTTCAAAAATCCGGACAAGAAACGTGGTTGTGTTTTTAATTTTCCAAACCATAAAGTAGGCTAAGGAAAAACAAGTCAAGAAAAAAGTCTGAGATTTAAATCTAAGGCTTACAACTTAAGAATGCCCAGTGATATTATTGCAGTTGACTGATTGTTCAGATCAGCTGATTCGTGATTATCCCCAGCACATGTACCATGGCTGGTGACACTGGGATGCAGGTGGTTTTTTTTTTATTGTGTTTGTCTTGTTTGTTGAAGGATCAGCAGATCAGGAGTGAATTAGTGAAGTAACGGCGCGAGGGAGACTCTGGAGATTTGCATGTCTCTTCATGCCAAAAAGCAAGTCACAGCAATATCCTGGATTCTTGCTAATTCATCAGTTGTCAGAAGCAATTACGTACAGACTTCCAAACCTACTTCTGTTTATTTTCTTCCACTGTAGTGATTGTGGACAAATACCAGGAGCAGCCTCATCTGATGGACCCACACCTAGAGGGTATATTGCTCCCCCTGCTAGACATTGCTAGGCAGTCTGGTATCGATCCACCGCTGTCCCATCTGGCATTCAAGTTCATGTACCTGCTGACAAAGGTGGGCAGATTTGCAGGAATGAACAGAGCATAACTGACACATTGGTACCTTCTTGTTACTGTTAAACCTTTTTCAGCACCAGTCAGGGGGATCCGGGACCATATTTTGGGGTAGGGAAATTTGTTTTGGAAAGGGATCCCCAGAATTTGGGAATTTCTTTATGTAACCTTTGTGTGACCTTTCTGAAAGGTAAGGCAACATTTTTAGGCTTGAGAAAGAATGGGTATGAAACTTGTTTTTTGTACTTTATCCAGAACTCCCATTCTGTATTTAATTTGCTTTTAGTACTTCAGTTAGATAAAAATTTATGTGCAATGTTTTCAAATTTTATAGATAATATTTTCCTTTGAATCATTGAAATCCCCAGGCCCGTGGGTTCAAGACTATTGTGCGTATTCTGCCTCATGAGGTCGCTGATCTGGAGCCAGCGCTGGCCCTCCTGACCAGGCAGGATCCAGCAGATTTTGAGGTAAGCGATGACCCGCAAGGCTCTTGGATCATTCCACGGGATGCATAGTCGAGTCCATTACATGTCCTGTCGCAAGTCTTTTCACAAGACCGGTCACAAGTAAAAGGTTGAACCTTGGGAAAGGAATGCTTTTGTCACGGTTCATCGGAAAAGCTCATGACTTGGCTTAAGACTGGATGACCTGTGATGGACGCGCGGTTAGAGGCGACAGACTTGGCGGTAACACTTGCTGCATTCAGGGCTTGTGTCTAGAGTCAGATCTAGGTCTTTGGCCTGGGGCCAATTTCATAGAGCTGCTTAAACACAAAATTTGCTTAAGCGCGAGAAAACCTTGCTTGATAAATTAGGTAACCAGCCAAAACTCCATGTGACGTATATTGCTTTGGGATTGTATTTAGCTGTCTTTTGGTTAGCATGACAATCAAATAGAGTTTGCACTGGTAACCTTTGTTTTTTTAAGCAAGTTTTTTTCACACCAAAGCAAATTTTGTGCTTAAGCAGCTCTGTGAAATTGGCCCCTGATAGTTTGTAGGCTCACGCTGCCGCTAGATGTATTAAAAGCCCTGACAGTCTGCTACTGGAATGTAAAATATCTCATATCTTTAATATTTACATGTGTTCATCATTGTCATTGGACCATTGATTTACTGCTTTCCTAATTCCCATTTCTGTGCCATGAAGTTGGTTCTGGAGAGTTTTCCCACCACCAAGTGTCCAAGATGTGCCTCCTCAGCTCTCGTAGAATTTCCTCTCTCTGCACTTTTGCCGACTATTGTCCCAGTTTGTGGAGGTTAACGACTGTTTTTTTTACTGGGGCCAGACCTGGGAGACTCGCTACATGCTGCTGCTCTGGATGTCCATCATCTGCATGATCCCGTTTGACATGGCCCGGCTGGACAGTAATGCCCCGCTGGATGACGAAGGGAGAAAGAGGGAGCCCACCATGATGAGAATCATCAATGCCGCCAAGGTGAGTCAGTGTTGTAGTCGAGACCATCACAAGACCATGCACAAGACCAGACACAAGACCATGCACAAGACCATGCACAAGACCATGCACAAGACCAGACACAAGACCAGACACAAGACCATGCACAAGACCATGCACAAGACCATGCACNCCGTACACAAGACCTTACACTAGACCATGCACAAGAGCAGACACAAGACCCTGCAAAAGACCATCACAAGACCAGACACAAGACCCTGCACAAGACCATGCACAAGACCATCACAGGACCATGCACAAGACCATGCACAAGACCATCACAGGACCAGACATGAGACCATCACAAGACCATCACAGGACCATGCACAAGACCAGTTACAAGTACTAAGATGAACAATGACAAAGGAGTGCTTTTGTTGCAGTTCATTTGAATAGCTTGTGACTTGAATTCAGACTGGAGGTCTTGTGTTGATCTATGGTGGGCATGGGTATAGGGTGTAGAGCATGTGTGGCATGGAGCATGTTTGACCAGTTTTCATCAGAATGTGTACAAAGTCAGAACATTTTTATTTAGTGCATTTCAGGCAGACTAAAAGCAGTACGATGATGTTGATTTTGTTGACAGATTTACCTGCGGGTATGTGACAAGTCGAGGGATGCTGCTGCACTGATGATAGCAAAGTGAGTCACTTGGAACTCCCACCCAGCAAAGTGACCAAACAGTCTGTTTGAAATGTCATGAAACTTCCCAATTGTAATGTTCCATCCATTAAGATGTAAGCATTTCACACCACTGATGATAATAGTGCAGAATTCGTGAGGCACACTTTTTTCAGATGTCAGTCAGTGGTACCAGTCTAGATGTAACTGAAAAACAAAACAGTTAGAAACCTCAGTTGACAGAGAAGACCAGCGTAAAGTGATCCTCTTTGGAAGTGAATGACGTTGTTTTCTGTCTCTCAGGCTGTCATGATATCTGCTTTTTGTCAATTTATGAACAGTTCCAAAATAGGTACAAACAGGTGGACAAGTTTTGTAACCGACAGGCTGAACTTGAATGTGTCCTGTAGTAGGAGATGGTGTAGGAAACAGAAATCATCCCAAGTAATACTTGAATACTCTGTATCATACCGGCTTTGTTTTTGGCCCATGATTTCTGTATTCTGTTGCTCTGTAAAAAATAACTGCAGCCTTTCGTGAGATGAGTATTCTTCACTTGTAGTGTATTTTCTATTTTTTTTTTTCAGATTTCTGACTCGCCATGACGTCAAACAAGAACTGCTCCCAAGCTTCTTGGACTGGTGTCTGCGCAGCCTGACGGAGACAAACTGTAAGCTGCAGATTTTCCTCTTCCGGCATACTTCAGTTTGCAAACGCAGAGCTTAATGCCTCACCTGTTGTATTTATCACGAGAAGAATGGAACTGAATTCAAAACAATATGGCATACATTTTCCATGAGATTCCCCCTTCTTTTTTTGCTATTTCAGATGACACAATGACTGGCATGACATTTCTATCTGGGCTTCTGTATACTTTGGTAAGTAACAAACCTAAGACTGACATCTGTCCCTCCCCCGCCCCAAAAAAGCACAACTTGGTCCGTGTTGCAGTACCGCATCTCTTAAGTTTGCTTTTCAAATTTGATATTCCATATACAAGTAGAGTTTTGGCGTGAAGACCAAGAATACAGCCTCATCTGTCAAGCAGTGGATAAGTGTGTCCATTTTATAGTGATTGTTAAATTGTTTTCTTTCTGCCAAGGCTTCCCTGTTCAAGATTGGCAAAAGGGAGGATCTCGTTGAGTACGGTGAGCTCATTTGCGGTTTTTCCCCCTCAAGCTGTCATATCTTTGTTGTGTATGATAAGACAAAGGCTTGTTAGAAGCTTAGCACTGTTGAAAAATGTCGATTTGAGAACGTGAGAGTGATGATTTCAACAAATGAAAACACATACATTTTTGGACTTGCACTGTGATTTGTAGTCACACTAAAAAGTAAATTTGAAACCTGGATAGTCTTGAAGAGGGGATTCAGCCCTACCTTCATCAGATTTTCTTCAAGAAGCTCCAGGGTTGTACACATTCAATAATTCAACTGAAAAATAGCCATGCATCACTTTTTGGTGGTCAACTAGTGCACGCACATGAGGAGTCATTTTATCGGCGCTCATTATGGTGACACCAACACATCTGCACAAGTTGATAGATCCAGTCCCGTTTCATTCTGGGTATTAATGGGGCGGAGGGTCATCGAACCCTTGCCAGCAGAATGCAGCAGGGAAGTTATCAGGGCTGTAGTTGAGACCATCACAAGTCCACTCACAAGTCCACTCTCAAGTCCATTCACAAGTCCACCCCCAAGTCCATTCACAAGTCCACCCACAAGTCTGTTCACAAGTAGCAAGACAAGCAGTCTCAAAAGAATACTTTTGCACACAGTATAGTTGAATAGCTCACAACTTGACTCAAGTCAGGATGATTTGTGATGGCCAAGCAGGGTGTCCACTTTGGTTCTATAAGTCATCCCACTCAGACCAACTGATGTCCTCTCTCATCATCCCCTCAGCACCAGTGGTTCTGGAGAGGCTGGTAGCCTGTCATCTCTTTGACAGTAACAACACTCAGCTGCACAAACTGGCCATTAAGCTGACCCAGCGACTGGGTTTGACCTTCCTCTGTGCCAGGACGGCTGCCTGGAGGTAAGATGTAGCTCTTCTGTCATATACAGTGACGTCCAACAGAAATCACGTCATTGAGACAATAAACAACACCTTCCTGAACACAGCTGAATTTTAATGTAATTTGAAACAGGTGCATGGTGAAATAAATACAAGAATGAGATTTGTAAACTACTTTGTGGCAGTAGGCCGGTTCGGTATTAGAACAACACATGTCCAATATGAAGCACATCTGAGGTCATTTGAGAACAGCAATACACTCGTGTAAGGTCTGCCCTTGTATGCATTGCCTTGCCTTTTTTGAAATACCAAACTGGTTCAAGCGTCATGTAGAATCACAGCGGATAGGATTTGCCTTTCTCCATCCTGCAGATCCCTCCCTGTATCTTGAAGGATGTGTGAAGGTTAGGTTGGAATGCCAAATCATATAGTCGCGCTGTGAATTTGCTAATGTTGAACACATTTTAGTTCAAGTGAATTTTCTCTTGAAATGTTCGGTTACTTGAAACTCGTTTTGCTTTCAAATTTACGTGAAGTTGAATCAGCCTTAATTATCACTGCGACTCCCTGAGTACGACTGGTGGTTATTCCTTTTTCTCCAGGTATCAGCGAGGCAGTCGGTCCCTCGCTGCCAACCTTAATAGCCAGGTCTCGGCTCCCCTGGCCGTGGGAACGGGCAGCTCTCAAATCGCTACGGAGGATGATGATGAAGAATACGACGTACCTGAAGAAATTGAGGAAGTCATTGGTAAGTCAAGTGCTGATGGTGGCCAATTGTGCGTTAAGGCTTAGAGTGATTTGAAGAAAACCAAGCATTCTCTATGTTAATTTTTTTGGTTGGACAGCATTATGTCAATTTATGTGAAATGGATTGTGAGTACAGTCAGTCAGTCAAATTTGTTGAGTCGATGCGCTACGGAGTGTAGGCCACGCACTGTTTGGTGGAGTGGGTCCAAGATGGCAAGCAAGAAAACTATTGCCAAAATCCAGGCCTGTCTGAAAAGCTACCAAGTCTGGATTGCATTTCAGTCTTCAAAATTCGGTTTTGCCAACTGGGCACAACCGTGATAAAGCCGTAGCCAGTGAAAAATGAACTGATGCAGGTTGGACTTGACAGTCTGGCTGCACTCAAATTAAGTATAGAGGACCAGTAACCATGCACGCACCTATGGAAGCTCATAGCAAGTGGATAAATCCATTTCCCATTAGATTCATGTGTTGTTGCCAGCAGTTGTCAATCGTCTTGGACTCTGCCAAAGCCATTTAAAAGGTCAAAGACATATCTGTATTAAGTCGTACCATTCACTAATACCAAATTGGATTGTGTCAAGTCTATCCCACTTGAGTAGGATCAAAATGCACTTCTGGAATAAACCATTTGTCATTTTACTATGGTTATTGTGTTGGTTGCCAAGTTCATTCTCAGGCCATCATTTTTCTTCTTCTTTGGCAGAGCAACTCCTTGTCGGTCTGAGAGACAGAAGCACAATAGTCAGATGGTCTGCAGCTAAGGGGTATGTAACTTGAACCGGAATGACTTCACCTGCCGAGTTGTATTGGTAGACAGTGTTTATGCTGTAAAGACACGGCGTATTATCTCATTTTCCCATGTCTACCATGTCGGTAATCCACATATCATTCTTTCATAATGAAGTCGGAGAAGTCTGGCTGCTCTCGAAGATTATGCCTGACGTCTGAACTTCCCTTTGTATCATTGTTGTAGTGTGGGACGGATGACGGGAAGATTACCCAGGGAGCTGGCCGATCAGGTGGTGGAGTCTGTGCTGGAACTCTTCTGGTGAGTAAAAGTAATGAAATTGAAATGACAAAAAAATAAAATATGCGCCACGTGAAGTCAGTTGGGTTTGGATGATTCTGCAACAGAGTTGATGGGTATAAGTTGTTAGCTCAAAATCACTGTCATTTGTGACCGGCTCTAGAAAAATGGTTACAGTAATAAGTCGCCAGATTCAGGTCATGAGTTTTTTGATATGGCTGGATTCTGTATACCAAAAGCTACAGTTTGATATATGAATGACCCATGTAGTGTGCTGCATTCTGGAGATATTTAGTCATTTGTATGTCCACATTTTCAGATTCAGTAAAAGCACTTCTCGAGAGAAAGCTCATAAAGTGTAATGCTTGGAAACACAATGCTACATAGGATTTCCCACTGAATGATAAATTTTTCGTCTTTCTTCATCAGTATCCATGTTTGTAGTCACAAATTCTGAAAATGTAAATATTATGGAAGCTAAGCAAAAAAGACAAAATCACTTTTTTGAAGAAATTTTGCCTTCTCCAAATAGAACAGGCCATTACCTGTTTTGGCATCGTGGGACTTATAACCTTTTTTTGCAGAGCGGGTCATGTTTCTCCACTTATCTGAGGGATCAAATCTCTGTAGAGACCGATTTATAGGTCCCCAAGTGTTGTCTCCAGGCTGTGACTGACAGTTCTGAAGAAGGGTCATCTTCAACATGAGTTCAAAGTTTGGGCTGTTCTGAGAAAAAAGAGAATCTTAAGAGCAGCTATTCCTCAGAGATACTTCAATCATACCCAACTTGTATTTGAAACTTATTGTTATAATCGCTACCAATTTATTAGCAAATTTCACTAAGTTTTTTCACTTTTTCCCCGTGGAAATTTGCCTGGGTTCATGTGGAACCGCATCAATTCAAATTACACCTAATTTGGCCCAATGTCCTCTCAAATTCGAAGTTTTCCCCGCTCGCCAAGTGAGCAGAGTAACGGAAAACTCACTTGTACCAAATGTTCAAATAACATGTTGCAGTATTCTAGACCATGAGTTCTGTATAACCATCTGGAATTGCTTGTTTATCATTCAGTTTGGGGGAGTTGGACGGTGCCTGGCACGGTGGTTGTCTGGCATTAGCTGAACTAGGACGGCGTGGCTTGCTGTTACCAGAGAGATTACCAGAAGGTATTGATATTGTGCATGACCTTTGCTACTCTTGATGGCTAACAATACCTAGGCAGGGTTCATCTCTATGATACAGGCGTTTCACAGTAGTGCACCTCCAAGACTTTGCAATGGGTTGGTTAATCACAGTGCGCGAAATCTGTCGACACTCTCCAAATTTGCATTGGGGCGACAGATTTTGGGCATTGTAATGGGTCAATGTGTTGCAAACTCCTGGAGGCGCACTATTGTGAATCGCCTGTATTGCGCTTTCTCATGTGACATCATAATGACCAGCTTATACTGCAGGCGCAGTTTTGTGAAGCAATGGTAGATTTATATTCTCGCCGTGGCAGTTTGAAAAAGAAAGAGTGTACCCTAACTAAGAAGGTTTGAGTAACGGAGGTAATCTGGGCTGTTTTCTCTCATAGTTGTACCAGTTGTCTTGAAGGCACTTGCCTATGATGAGAAGAAAGGTTCCTGCAGCGTGGGTAAGTTGACACTCTTCAGTCATTCAGTGTGACAGGTTCCTCAAGGGTAGTGGATTATGTTCTCAAGAGGAGCAGGATCGTTAAGAGAAGGCTGTCGGTGGAAGCTTTTGAAAATTCTCACTGGACTCGCAGATGATACCATTCACTGTAATACTGTGCATATGTTCCATTATACTCTGCAGTAATGTACACGTTAAAATTCACTGGCAGCGGGCCAGGTCTGGTATTTACATTTACATCTTCCTGATGCCAAAAAAATTTCATCAGCAGTTATTGCTTGCATTCTACCCATCAAATTTGATTCCAGCTGGCCAGCTAATCCTGACAAGCTAGTTGGCCGAGTGGTTAAAAAGTCTGCATTAGTAAGCGGGAGGTCATGGGTATAAGTCACACCGTAACAACTTTGCAGAGATTCCTACAAGCTTTCAAATTATACTGAGCATATGGTATTCCTTAATTGTGTGCTTGTGAAGGGTTATGTTCAATATAATTTTGGTCAACCGTTGCCAAGTGATTCTCATTTGTGAGCCGCTCTGTAAAAAAGGGTACTAAGTCGCGCAGTGCTAAAACACGTAATGGCCTGTTCTATATCGAAAGGGCAAAATTTCTTCAAAAACGTGATTTTGTGTTTTTCCTTTAATACTTTCTGTAATGTTTATATTTTCAGAATTTGTGACCACAAACATTGATACCGAGGAATAAAAATGAAAAATTGCTCATTCAGTAGGAAATCCTACATATCATTGTGTGTCCATGTGCTACATGTTATGAGCTATTTCTTGAAAAGTGCTTTTATTGAATCCAAAACTGTGGATATACAAATGACTATGTATCTCTGGAACGCAGCACACTACAGGGATCATTCCTATATCAATTGTAGCTTTTGATGCACAGAATCCACCCATATCAAAAACTCATAACCTGAATCTGGCAACTTATTACCATACCCATTTTTCTAGAGCCGGTCACCTTTACTGTTGTTCACCTCTAGGTGCTCACGTACGCGATGCGGCGTGCTATGTCTGCTGGGCCTTTGCCCGGGCCTACGACCCACAGGACATCAAACCCTACATCAACAAGCTGGCCTCGGCTCTGGTCATCACCACGGTCTTTGACCGGGAAGTCAACTGCAGGAGAGCAGCATCGGTATGGCGGAATCCCATCAGCACACTCGTATTACATTGCATTACATTGTGTTACATAATTGTACACAGTATTGATTCCCTGATAAAGTAACTTAACTGTAGATTGTTGAAAGCTGTTAATTGTAGATTGCTGTAGCAGCTTGGGGGTTATAAGGGGGTAACGTCTCAGGCAGTGCAGGGACTATTGGGTGTAAGTTTAAAATTAGAAGACAAATTTGAAATTTTTAAGGGGGGAGGGATGGGTGGAATAAATTCTTTGATGACATCTGCTTTATAAGGACATCAGTTAGAGGGAACTTGGGGAGGCGCTAGATAGTTTTTGTGTGTCTGAAGCAGTTGAATTTTGAATGTAATGCAGAAGTCTCGATGACAAAGCCCGCCAATCTTCCTAGAATGGTCTATCCAGTCCATGTTTAGATTTAACAGGTTATTATCATTACAGTGGTGTAAAGAAGATTGAATTAGCATTGTTGTGGTTTCAAGGATTTGTATGTGCTTGTCTGTCAAAGTCAGTGAGGAATTTAGAAGTTTTTGGATAGCTCTATGATTGAATGAAATAAGCTGCTTGCTCTACCTTTATTTATATAGCTTTTTATGTCAAGAGCTTCCAGTGTAAGTAACCAATTAATTTGATGATGAAGCTCCCGTCCCTGCCTTCTTAGAAATATGTTTATGTTAAATTTTTCTTTCCAGTGTGAGTGAAGTTGGTTAAGTTAGTTTGACGATGAACAAAGGGACTGATTTTGCTTTAAACCAGAATGAGAAAGTGGATTGGATATTTATTGCCGGCATTTGACCTTTACAAATTTCTAGGCTGCCTTTCAGGAGAATGTCGGTCGTCAGGGTACCTTCCCCCATGGTATTGACATCCTAACGACAGCCGACTTCCTGGCAGTCGGCAACAGGACCAATGTCTTTCTGCACATCAGGTTGGGCGTCATGAACTTTTTTGCTTTTTATACCTGCTTCATCTTAAACTTTGGCAGTGTAAGATCTGCCCATAAATAATTCCTGACGTTACTTGAATTTGATGTATACTGTTTTGATGAGAACATTTGCCCCACCTGGATGTTCTGTTGAAAAATCCACTCTCTCCTACAGTTATACAAATTTCACAGGTTTTTTGAGGACTCCTGACATTTTGCTTTCACTTGACAGTTGCTACATTGCCGATTTTGAAGAGTACACACTGCCACTCATAGACCACTTGGCCAAGATCAAGATAGGTCACTGGGATGGGTAGGTTGAACTCCGACATCTTCAGCCACACCTGATTGCATTCCTGTTGATTGCACTGTAAACTTAGCCCTGTGCGGGGATTGTGCAGCCCTATTTCACCAAAACTTAATCTTCCCCCCCCCCCAAATTGCCCGGTGGAATGATGTTTTCCAAGAGTTTCGTGAATTTTGCTACATGCTCAGTTCAAGGAAACTGGAAATTGGATTCAGTTACCTGTCATCTAACTTAAAATGATCAGGACTTTGCAAACTAAGCATGGGTGTATTGAACATGTTACTCTATTGGTTCCATATAAACTACTTTGGTAAGCCAGGCTTTTATGGAATATTCCTGGGTGTGGTATTCCAACTTTTCTCTGAAATGTATTTTTGTTAGTGCAATCCGCGAGTTGACATCCCAGGCCTTACACAACTTGACACCCAAAGCTCTCAACTACATGATAGAAACAGGTAAGCTCTTGCTACTATTCTAAACCCATGAAACTTTGTTTTGTGAAAGTTATTGAATTTAAAGACTTTGGAATTTGTGCACACTTTTTGTTCAGTACTGCAGATCCACAAATGGTCAACATTTGAAACAAGTCAATCTCAACTTTGATTCAGTTATAATTCCGCAGCAGTGTCCTCTTGGAGGTTCCATCCTTCATTTGAGCAAAAACTCGGATGGGAAAAAAAACCAGTTGTCTTGCTTCAGATTTGGGGAAAAATTCTCCAGATGTTAAGTTTCCAAGGGGGAAACCGTGCAGTCTGGCATAACTTGAACGGATTGATTCTAGTAACACTCCAACTTGGGTCATCAGAGATTGAAGTGTGAGACAAGAACTTCTGGCAGGAATGAAACATCACAACTTTGTCAAGAGGGGTACCTGTCACAATATGGAGCTTACCGAGTATTGCAATTTTGGCTTTTGTCATTTGATATCCCATCATTCCCGTATCACAGTTGCTGATAAATCTAACTGTTCTATCCTCATACAAATGCGAACAAGTCTAATTTCAGCTGACAGACTTTTTTTGTTCTTGTTCTAAGCCTGGGCATGCATTATATCTCTTACTGAGTAGTACACTTGGTTTGCTTTTACCCCCAGTCCTTCCTTCGTTGATACCCCTGGCCACTGGAATTGACTTGTTCACGCGACACGGTGCTTTGCTGGCAGCTGCTGAGGTCACGCATGCACTCTACAAACACGCCATTGAAACTAACAGGTTAGATTGTTTGGCTCCTTCAAGGCCAGACATCAGAGATCTTCTCGGGAAAAAAAAATACTGTGCACATCTGGGTACTCATTAAAAGCCAGCCGGGAACCGGTTGCAGACAATGTCGCATTTCATTTCGGCTGGTTCCTAACAAATTTTTTGTGTGCACAGCAATTCTCTGTGCCTAGCAGTTCATGGAACTAACCTTGTCCTCTTTATGTCTGTGACACATAACACGATCGTGTACTACTTCAACTTTGGCCTGCCTTGTGCACGTCCCCTTACCTCATTCCAAGCCCTCCATCCATCTTGCTTTTCCTCCTTGTCTACAGTCTTCCTCCTGGTTGTTCTGGTCTACCAACTTTTCTTTTTCCTTCATGTTGCATTGTCAGGGTAATCGTAAAGTGACGAGCGTTTGACTTTCTCAAAACGTAACCAATCCAGTCCTGTCTTCTCCGTTTTAGCTTTTGACTCATTCTTGCAGTTTGGACGTTACATTGAGTTCCTCTAATGAAATTTTCTTTGGGCCAAAATATTTGTAGGGCCTTCTTCAAACACTGGTACTGGAAGGAATGTGGTCTTTTTTCAGCTTTTTTGTCCATTTTCCCTTTTTTTCAGAACCGTTTCAGATGTACTGGGTCCTGAAAGTGTTGCAGGATTAAAACAAATTGTCAAAACGGTAAAGTCTACAGGAAACAACTGACATGTAAACATCCCCTGTATGTGAACAACTATCCCTCTACATTGGAATTCATTTTGAGCATTAGACTAGTACTTTTAAAACTTGACTTTTTGGTTTAGCAGAAGACCCCAGACTCAGATATTTGCAGAGTTTGCTTTTCTCAGCAACCTCAGCATCAAAAGTTAATAACTGATAAAGATCAGGTTAAGGGTTTATTACATAAGTAAAAAATTTGAAGGCCATTTTGAATCAAAATGTAACATTTTTGTCATTTTATATTTTTGGATATTTATATTTAGGATAATCTTTCAATTTTCAACCTTTTATCAGGCAAACAACACTTTCTCATTGATCTGATGTCCTAATTTTTTCCTCTGTTAAAGGCTGTTGAAATTTAAAAAAAAATGTTAAATGCCCAATAAAGTCTTTTTCTTCTCACAATAAAGTCCTCTAAAGTGTGAAATTGCCCCCTTTGTTTGAGTTTTCAGTTACTTGTACATGCCTGATGTTGGAAATAACCTCAATTTGTTTGGGTTGGTTTTTGTATTAAGATGGTGGAGGCCAAAATGTTCCGGGGTGTGACCGGCGAGTTACTGAGACCAGCCGTTTGTGTCTTCATCGAGAAGATGTCCCTGTCCAAACTTCGATGTCACGGAGACGACATTCTAGGTAAAGACAACTCAGCTTGAGACTCATTCATTAGCAAGAGCAGTCTTGTTTGTAAGATGTCCTCAGTGGTGCGATGTTTCAGTGTGCATGAGTTGTCCTGAACCATCATGGAACTTTTGCAAGGGATGCATTCATGTATCAGGGGCAACGGAAGCCTATTAGACAAGACCAACAATAACAATTTCATGGGCACATTTTCCACTAATGCAGTTAATTGGTTCCCCTCTACAATGAAGTGAAAACACCCTTTTAAGGTGTGAATCTTTCCCCTGTCTGCTTTGAGTAGAAGCACCCCCTCTTTGGCTGGAAAGAACCATGTTGGTAGGGAGTATTCATTTTGTTGGTAGTGATACGACCATAACATGTACATTTCATGGTTGTTTGTGAACTAGCGAAGTGCTGTTGCCGCCAAAGGATTCTCCGTTTCTAAGAAAATTAAATTTTGCCCTCGCTTGCTCCAGCTTGGAGGTCATAGACGAATAAAACTGCATTAGGCACCTGGTCATTTTGGTAGGTGTGATACCAGACGATTTGGATATTCATTTGTTATTCTTTTACAAACTCAGAGGTGTGGCAGTTTGTGTTGGATGATAACCTGATCGGTTTGCAGCGTACGGAGGTGGACATCCAGAGCTATGCAGTCAAGGCATTGGGAGCCTTCTACATGGAGTACTACCAACAGCCAGATGGCACGGTGCTGCCGGGGTTACAGGGTGAGGCATTCGCAACATCAAACTTGCTTGTCCTCGCGAACCAATCATCCTGACTATTAAGTTTCCCGTTGTCAAATTTTAGCATGCCACTGACCCAACCTAAAAAAAAATAAAACAGTTGCAAGTTGTCCAAGCCACTTTTGAGTTTAGCCTTTAAATTTATCTTGGGCAGTGATGTCTGATTTTATCAGGATGTCATACTGAGCTATACTCGAAACAAGAAGCTCTTTTTGCTCTTTCAAATGCAAAACAAAAACAAAATTGTTAAAAAAAGTTGCTCAAAGATCGATATTCCAGGATCCATTTGCAAATTGAATTCTCAATAGAACCCTTTTAGCATTGAACTCAGTGGCAGGTAAATATGATACAGTATTGGCATACATTTGTAGATCTTTGAACCTTTTTCTTAACTTCCACATCATCAGATAAGGTTTTAGACCGGTACCTGCATGAGCTGGCTACCAGCCAACAGGAAATGGGCCGTATGGGTGCTGCCATGTCGCTGGGTCGCCAGCCCAAATTCATGCTGGAGACCAAACTCATGAAGGTAAGACCCAGTGTACCCCATCAGAAAAAAGGACTACCTGTACCTCATGTTCTGTACTCATGGTGGAGGGAAGATAAATCTTTTGTTTCGTCGGTTTTTGAATTATTGTGTGTGTCTGTCTTTCCTTTCCAGGTACTTCAAGGCCTGGCCAAGGCTTCCTCCATCTCCAGCCAAACGGAAAAGTTTGCGGAGTCCAGGAGAGATGTGATTAAGGCCATAGCAAGGTAAAACTCAAAAGTTGCCATCGTCAAGTCTAGCAAGCCAGTTAATCTCAATCTTACTGCCAACAGGACCTAGAACCTTATGTTAAGGCTGGTTCACACCTAATGCAAATGCAAAGCAAATTTGAAGTCATGAAAAATTGCTGCAAAATTTTGCTCGAGTTGAAATGTGTTCAACTTTTATGAATTTACAACGTGAATATTTGATCTGACGTCACAACGTCACGTTCGTTTTGGCGTTGGCGCTAACTATGAACCAGCCTTTAGGCTGGGCCCAAATCACTTGCCAGTGGCTAGACATAACATGCATGCTTCAGCTTCCATATAGTGGCTTCTTGCAATTTCTGTAGATGTGTAGATGTTGTCATGTGGCGGTGTATTTGTTCACTTTTTTCTGATTGCAGAATTTGCAAGACAGTAGGAATCAAAGCAGATGGCGACCCCACCTGCCTTGTGTGCGGCGATAACATAGGCATGGTGTACTCAGCGTTACTTGGAGCCATGAAGGATTACACCACCGACAGCAGAGGGGATGTCGGTGCATGGTATGCCCCTTTGAGTTTTGCAGCCAATCTTCATCAGTACTATTCATATGTTGTTACCGATGGGGAAATGAAGCGAGCTGGACAGTGGTCTTTTTTTCATCTTGAGTTTTGCTTACGCTTAACTTTGATCATTGTGATGTGACAGGGTGCGAGAAGCAAGCATGACAAGTCTGCGTGAGCTTACCAGCCTTGTCGTTAAAACTGAACCCACACTAATCACAGCAGACACGTGAGTGTGCTTCATTTGTTATTTGTCTGTCAGAGCCTTTGGAGTGTTTTGATGGTGAATTTAATAGCCTTGATTCAAGTCTACTCTTTGGAGTGTGACTTAATCTGTTGTACATGTACATGCAAGAACAACGCATGTAGATGGAGCTGTTACTGTGACTGACAAAATGGATCAGGAACAAACTACCAAGTTACAGGCTTGATTATAGACTTGGCATTGAGAAGTCTTGGAGTGTCTAAGCTGTAGTCTGGAATCACGCAGTGGAATCACCGTTGATTATTCTCACACATAAATTCTAAAAACTGGTTGTAGATTCCTTTTGCGAAAGCCTGCCAAACTTCATTAAAACTGACTGAAATTTGAACTTTTACCAAATCAAATTTCTGCCTTATACAAGAAATTTCATCGTGTAGAGTCAGGTTAAAAATAGGCACATGGTTTCTGAGAGACTGTGATATTAACTTGACAGTATTTTTGACTTGATGAATTTGCTATGACTCAATCTCAGAATCCAGCAACTGATGCAGTGTCTGGCACAGCAGGCTTCCGAGAAGATCGACCGTACCAGAGCCTGCGCTGGTGCGGCGATTCTGGGACTATTACACCACGAGCCTCAGGTGCCCTACATACCATGCAGAGAACAACTCCTGGAGATCTTCCCCAGGTAGGTGCTTTTTGGCTTCTTGGAGAGTAAAGAATTTGTGTCAATGGCTTTGATGAAGTTTATTACAAACTATGAAATAGAGAGCCCAGCTCAGCTGAGCTGATGCATTGGCTCTTTATCCATGACTGAGGGCACTATTCTGGGCTGCTGTGTTACATTCCACCTTAGTGGTAGGATGCCAGTCAGCATTGAAAAATTGGGTGCACAAATTTGCCCAGATTTAAAAAATCAGGGTGTTCAGTTCTCAGACCCGTCATAGTTTGACATACATTCGCATGTTAAGCAAAATAGGGTGTCCGAAACACCCTTCACATCGTGCCTCTAGGACACCCAGACGTTCAGCCCTGTGACTGAAATCTTGTTTGACGATCATTCTTTTCTTTTCCTCCCAGGAGCGACCTTCAGGAGTTGAACTGGAGTGCGCCGTCGGAGTCCTTCCCCAAGATGACCCGGCTGCTCGACCTGCCTGTGTACCGGCACCACGTCCTGCTGGGGCTGACGGTCAGTGTCGGCGGCCTGACAGAATCCTTGGTGAGCAACTAAAAAGTGTCCTTTGCTGACGTGCCCTGTTGCGTATGTAGACTGGTGAGCTGCCGTTGACTTTTGCCGTTTTGCACCAGTTGCTGTGACATCTGTATCAAGAGGAAAGCTAAACGTCAAACAGTATTGTAACGGTAGAACTGCTGGTTTTTATTTATGATATACTATCTGGTATCCCCTGGATCAGGAAATTACGCTTTCAGCTGAATTTTGTGCCCTGCCTAGTCCCTCCACCAACACATATTCACAGCTCGGGTCTCTTCATCAGCACAAAACATTACTTGTCTAAAGCCAACTCCACTTGGTTTGTGCCAAATCGAGAAAAAATGTTTAATTGCTGGGTTTTTTTGGAAAGAATGGAGCATTTTTTCCCTGATATTTTCGAGTGGAAATGGTATTTCCAAACAGAGGATGACGCGAGAAAGGGACTTGGGAAAGCAGCACCGATTACTGCCGGAAAGAGCAATGATCCAACGGGCCATTTTGGTGCGTGGATTAAAATTCCATCTTCCCCCAAAATGTTAAATGGGACAAAAAAAACTTGGTGCCAAAACTCTGCATGGACGCTCTAGCCCCATGTTGGCAGCATTCCAGTTTAACAGTGTCTTTAATTTGTTTAACTGAAACAGGTCATGGAGAAAACTTGTTTGGGAGGTCTAACGACCAATTTTTGTGCGTGTGTGCATGCGTTCTACAGGTCAAGCATTCCAGTCAGTCCCTGATGGCCTACCTCAAAGGTCTGTCATCCCTCACTGACTTGGAGGGATTTGTCTCCGCGATGCTGGACGTGTTCCAGGAATATGAGAAAGTGGATAGGTGGGTTGCATTTTCCTGGTCTTTTTGTGTGTGTGTTTGAGTGCACTAACCTTGCATACCTAGTGTGGACTTGTGAACAAAAGATGCCCTCACGATGCAGGAAGGGAAGACGTTCTCTGGACTTTTATACTATGTCCACAGAATGTTTCCCCTTCTCTGAAAAAGAAGTTTTTAGAGGCAGTTTTAGAAGTTTTAGAGGCATTTGGGGGCTAGGGTTATCCGTTGTAAAAGGAAAACAAACAGTCAGGAAAACCTGTTACAAAAATCCAGCTGAAAATCGTGTTCCCATTTCAAGAAAAAGTTGTTATATATCACCAAGTTTTCTTTACTACACGAAACCGAAGGAATATCCATACCAGGTATGTAATGTAAACATAGAAGTGTTTGTGTGCTCAAGTGCACATTTTGTAGTCCTGCAAAAGTTACAGTTTTCAATGAGTCGGTTGGATACTTCAAAAAGGCAAAGTCCTTCAGGAACAACGCATGTGCATGAGTCCGCTTTAGGGCAGTGCAGTGCTGACCTTGCGCGCACACCCAAATGACCATGGACGCGCTTCATTTTTGGCACATGCCATTGGATACTTAACTGGCCCATTGCATAAATGTTAGTTATTTTGTTTGATAGTTGCATTCGTTAGCTTTTTTGACATTTCCTGCAAAATAGAATAACACCATTTTGTTAAGGTCAAATGCAGCTGTACGTGACAGTGAATGACTTATGCCAAATCTTGGTGTTGTGATGGGTCTTCATATCTCCAAAAAACTGATCTGCCTCACAGAAATTGGAGGGGCTTTTTTACGCTGAGTTTTTAAAAAGTTCAGAGAGTGTAATTACTTCTAACATTCTTTTTATGAGTTCTTGTAACTTTCTTTTTTTTCTTTTGCCTCAGAGTGACGCTGCCTATGATGAAGATGATCAATATATTATTGTCCGCTGGATCACTGGAAATATTTGCTGAAAATGAAGAGTGAGTACCTTTCTACCAACTGTTCTTGTTTGTTCACCTGTTTGGACTGAGTGTTTGAATAAATAAAAAGTAATCGTTTTGGTTGGGACTAGTTTTGTCTTGGTTTTTGAAATTTGACCAAAACTTTGTGTTGATAATGGTGGAGGCAGTTGGAGACAAAGTGAAGGAGAGTTTGTATCTTGAGTGGTTAGTTTCTGGCTCACATAATTAGGGAGGCATTTGTAGAAACTCAACGCAATATGATACTGATCAGATATTGACTACTTTTGAAGTTGGATGGAATTTTTTCCACTGGGTTGATGTAAATTCTAATATTTGGTCTTGCCTCTGTGCCTTGTTGGTTTGAGTCCCATCAGAGTGAACTTCTGAGGTGGGATTTCCTTTGACTTATTTTGAGCCTTGATCTGATGACATTAGGAAAGCCGTTCAGTATTGGCAGAGACTCCGTGCTGGGCGTTGTCCAAGCTAATTAGCCCTCAATGCTTCTCTGACCATAAGCCAGCCCAGTGCATCAACCATGAAAGGCAGCTTTCTGATGGTACTGTTTTCATGCACCATGATTTGTCTGCACATCAGTCATTTGCCTACGCCATGGCATTGCCGGTGAAGGACAGAAACCCAATATTGAAAACAAAATATGCAAATGTAGACATAATTTAATTAATTGTTTGTCTTTGTGGTTGTTTTCCAGCCACCAGTTTCCAGTGCAGCTCCTTGACAGGATGAAGAAAGAGATTGCCAAATGCGGGGAACCTCAGAAGCTTCTGGCAAGCGTCGACGTGTAAGTACCTTGTGTTTTCAATACCGCCCGTCTGTATCTATTGAATTAGGTTTTTGTCCTTCAAAAGACACATTACAAAAACCTAAGTAGTCTGTCTGAATTACTTTTTGGACTCAAGAAAATGCTTATCTATTAAAGTAACATCTTTCAAGGAAGCAGTGTTAAAAAGGTGTATTTTGGAATCAGTTTGATAACAGAGATGTACAATAATGCTAATTCGTGTATATATTGAACTTTGAAATGATTTCTGATTTGATGAAATCATTTTTCAAGCAAGGGATTCACCCATTGCTCCAACTGAGATATGTGATTATTACTTTACAAAAAACAAATTTCTGGAATAAATTGAATGACAAAACTGGAAATATACTGAAAGCAAACATTCCAACAAATATGTGGAGGCCATTTGGAATCATCTGTGAATGTGAGCTTTTTTTCTTCGCTTTTTGAGTTGATCGCTTTACCCCACTCATGAATGGGGTTGGAGTCTAGCTTAATTCCCAAGTTTACGAGGGAAGCTTTTCCATAACAGATCGAGTTCTAAATTATTGTGCAAATGTGTCCTGGGTATTGGCGTCACTCCAACCCACGCAGAAAAGTAATATACGTTAAACTTCATTTGCCTCAGTTATGAATGTTGCTTTCGAGCAGAAAACTCTTCTTTACATTGCAAATTCAGAGACGGCGTATAAGCAATTATTATTTTTTTACTGGTACAAAAAATACAGCATTTTGGCGCTTGTTACAATCATCAACCCACCCGTTCTCCACACACTTAAATAACATGATATGATGTTTATTTATATGCTAGTGTAGGATACATGTATTTGATTTGATTTCTCATGTATTACTTGACTTCTCTCGTGTTGTGTTGCAACCGGCTCTTTTCTGGGAAATGTGGGCGGCATGCATGCCCCTTTAATAACATTTGTCCGCACACAAACCCAGTCAAAGAGACCTGTTGATGTTTATCAAGGAATCCCGCAAAGAACTACATTACATCAGACTGAAAATTTCAATGCTAGGCTGTAAATTTGGAACTGTGGGATAGGAACATATTGTTGAAGACCGGATTATTGTATTTGTTCTGTACTGAGTTTCGGTGAATATTTTAGGAAGTCCTAAAAAGCTTATTTTAATTTAGCTTTTTTGGGGGGGAGGTGGCAATACCGGGTAAATAAGAGATACATGCAGGTGATTTAGGCAACAAGGAAATTGTACATTTTTTAATCTCTTTGCAGTTTTTAAACCCTTTTAAAAAGTGAATGAATGAGTCACTTACATGAATCTCATTAACACACATGACATTAAACCTTGGGCTCATTCAGTATACTGTGTAGTACGCATGCGTACTATCAACGATGAAAGCTACACAGGGTGTGCTTATATCACCATAGTTATTGAACTGTTGAATGCACTCCAGCTCTCATCTGTACTTACTGCATCGACGTGTTACCATGCTGGACTATCGGTGCCTTATAAAAGCACTAAACAAACATGAAACCTGTTAGCCTGTGCAATCTTGCGCACTTGTGCAATCTCTGCAGATGTCGTCTTCATTTGGTCGACGACAAACCACTCTGCCAAGATTCCGTTCAAATGCACTGGATCCGGAGTTAATGATTAAGTCCATTGGGTCCACCTTGCAACGCTCACTTGTTTGTGCTTTGCTCAAACCATTCAGCTCCCCAAGATTATTGGCTTCGTTATTTTATTGTATTTTTTCCCCCAAATTCCTGGCATCTTTACTGCATCAGGTTCACTAGACTTTGTTGACAACTGCTCATGAACCGTGCTTCCTGTTCGCTTTCTAACCAGTCAGTTTTCGTGCTCCTTCCATCTGCATGTTAGGACCTTATGTGTTTGTTTGCAATATCTGGATATTAGCCTTGGCTCTCAAAACGGTATTGATTGTCAAAAAGCTGTCGCTATTGACCTGCACCGAGAGTGGACTCCATGCTTTAGAATTCTCAGCAACTTGTCCAGTTTGACACGTACGCTGCATTTCTGTAAACAGCACATCTCAGTTGAACACTCAGGATTTCCCCGTGTCTTCAACTCCAGTGCAAATTTAATATCAGGTTCATATAGGCATGGTAAAAATGTCAAGCGTAATTTGTTATATGAAATGTTCTGATACCATGGGTGTTTTCTCAGCAATTTTTCTTCACGCAAGGACTGAAGTGTCTTTAATTGGAAAAAGATTTAAAAAAAAAAAGCAGCTTAACTTTCAAAATGTTCTCGTAGTCATATTGAAACATTACATCACAGACAAGAAAAGCAGATCAAAATATGTCGCGTTTGCTTGCTTGTAATATTTTCACCATCCAATTGTCAGAAAGCTCCTTTCGTTGTGATTGTAGTTGAACCTTCTTGTTGTTGATTGGATGTGGAAAAACAGGGAATATATCAATATCAACTTCTGTATTTCAGTCGGCTTTTGTCCAACCTATACATGTATTTACAGCTTTTGGGTTGACATTTACGGTAGCTTCAGATAAATGTAAATGTCAAATGTCCATTTGTTGACTGCGAACTTTTGACTTGTGTGAGAAATCCGTCCTTTGTAAAGGCCGTGGTAAATATTTCCATGCATACATTTATAAAAGTGGCTTTCATTAGGCTGATGTAGTTTTTTCCAGATTTTCCTCTTTTTTTTTCCAAACTGAAGTTTACTCCCTGGGAGACCATGTCCTCCCACCCTTCTTGGCGTCGTGTCAGCGGGACACGGATGCCTGTTCAATATTTGATGCTTGTCTGGTTCAATTAGTTCAGAATAGAGAGAGCGAGAATAAGATTATGCTGCTTGAAAGGCCTGTTGCAGGAAACTGATCTGCGATCTTTAACAAAGCTATACTCTCTCCTGGCGCTGGAGTGTGTAAATCCGAGAGCGCCATTAGACAAATTGTATTTGTGAATAGGGCGTATCATGTTTGATGTTTTGCGCACCACTGAATATAACTCAATCTGATCCTGTGTCTTTCCTGTGTGTGTCAAAGACCTGCTTTGCTGAGCTTTGATGTTACGTGGGCTGAAGAATGTTGCAATTACAAGTAAGATAAAAACAGGGAAAATGCAGAGTCAACCTGCCCTAGTGTGAAAAATGCACATATCAGTGTGCGTGAGCATGGTTTTAAAGTGTTTTGTTTGAATCAGCTTTTTTTTTTTACATCCATCCTTCTGCTTGAGAGGTTGGAAGTTTGGTTTACAGAAGTACAACTTTTTCTCGCTAAACATGCCTAAAGGAAATATTGGTTTTTAAAAACGTCAGTATGCCATTATTAGGGATCATTTTGGGGCACAGAAGTGGTGCATTTCAGGATTAGTATTCAGACTTGTAGGTCAGTTGAAATTTTCAAGAATTTGGATTTTTTTGTCTCTTTGTTAATGTTTTCTCTGAATTGCCTGTGCAGCCTCCAAATGATTGAAAGGATACTAATCTGGTTAAACTGGCGCAGTCATTTATTACATGGAAGAGTTCTAAGTTTCCTCAGTGATATTAATTTATCATTATCCACTAAATGCAGCATGGGTTCTGTCTTTCTTGCATGTCTCCAGGGATTTACCGGTCAGAATATTTAAAATAAAATAGACTAAATTCATGTGTCTAATGCAGAAAAAACCTTGGAATTCTTTTTCTGCTTTTGGTCTTGTCCAGACACATTGCAGATTCTGATAACCAGGGTTCTCACTTTCATAGAAAATCCTGAAAAAAATCCTGGAACATAAAATCATGGAAAAGTCATGGGAAAAAGGGGGGGGTTCTGGAAAAGTTAGAAAAATTCATGGAATGTAAGGGCATGCAAGAGTTATGTTTTTTTATGGACCACTTTGATAAACAGAATAAGGGTAAATGAACAGGCTATATCCTTGTCAGTCTGTAATGGTGGCTATGGATAATACCAAACAACTTTACAATGCAAAATGGCGTTAAACACATGACCCATCATTTGCTGTTCAATCCAAGAAGTAACTGAAGAAATTATTGTTGAAAAGCATACATGTACTTGGTTTAAGAGATGGTTATGGGACTAAACTCCCTGTGAAATTCTTTCCTGGAAGCTGTCATTTTCAAGAATACAGTGAAAGCAGGCCATTTTCAGGAATAGGCGCATTTTGGGGAAAATTGCCATTAGAAGCACGTGCAAACATTCACATGACACACGTGTGCAGTTACTATAGTTCATTGGCTCAGTGTCTGACATCACGCATCAGTAGCTGCTATTGCCTGATGGTGAGAATGTGTCCCAGATGCTGAATGACTCAGAACTTTTGAAATCAAAATCCTAGAATCTTGTTTTCTTGGAATATACAGTATTCACTGTGCTGAAACTTCTTCAGTTCTTTTCTTCTTCTTTTTGTAGGCACCCTTCTTTAGATTTTGAGTAAACTTGCTGCAAAGGCAAATCCTTTACCTTTAAATGTCAATAAAACTGTCATATTTTAGTCCTAGAAAGTCCTGGAATTCAGTTTTCACATTTCTGTGAAAACACTAAAATCGCAAAATTGTGGTGCTGAATACAACAGTGACAACTCTACCCCACTCCGAAGAAGAAAACCTGGTGATGTGTCTTCTGTGGCTCAGATATGTATTACAGAAGAAATTGTATGTCCAAAGTCTTGACAACTGAATAATCTTCTCATTTATTGAGACATTTATTTCAATAAATGAATCGCTGGGTTGAAATCCTAAATTTCTTTTGCAAAAGTTTTATAGCCTCATCTTCACTACAAGCCACAAGCCACATGTACATTCATGTATGTACAGATACATGTACATGTGCCTGTGAATGATAGTTCCAATGTGGACAGTACCGGGGCCTTGTTGTCTTGAAGGATGAGCCAGCACTGACAACATCATCACCAACAACTTCACCTCAAGAATGACCAAGACCCATGGTCATTTATCATCTCCTATCCAAATCTCATCTATGCCTGTCTTGGGCACTTGAATTTTTTTGGTTGGCTTCCGAGGATTGTGATGATAGATATATCATCCA